TTTTTCCCCCCAGGAGCTCCCTACTGTATGTACAATATATTCGAATTGTATATGTAATTGTAAATATATGTAAATATATATTTTTTTATATAATCCCGTTTTGTTTGGGTTTCTTTCAGTTTTTCTGTGGTTCGTTTTTCTTCCTCGCTTGAAAGAGCGGGAGGGAGGAGGGAACAGCTTGGACTTGGCAAGAAAGCCAGGCCAAACTGACACAGCATGATCAGAGTCCTGGTTCTTATTGCTAGACTGTGTGTTGCCCGTGAGTGCCATTGAACTGCAATACTCACATGTGTGCCAGGAAAGTATGCTGGGGGCATGAACAAGTAACTCTCAGTGAAATTTAAGATCATCATTTAGACCATATTAACATGGAATTCCAAAGTACCTGAAATATTGTCTGATCAAGAGCTCTCAAGCACCCCACAGCCACTGTGAGTGGAGGCACTGGGAAAAGCAGTTGGAAAGCAGTTGTCCATTTAGTTACTGTTATGGGACTGAGGTTAAGCATCCTTTGTGTCATTTTAGGAAACAGAATAACTCAAGTATAGACATTAACTAATCCATTTCACCTGCAGAGTCTAGCTGGTGTCAGGGCCACTGCTACTGTGTTATGATTTCGCATTCTGGCACCCTGGTTATAAGCACAGGTGTAGGGGGGTAAAAGACCTCTAAGAGGCTTTCCTGTTTCACTGGGACTGATGTGAAGAGAAAGACTCCAACAAGACGTGTGCTTGTTTAGACTTCCATCTGGAGCTATAATTTAAGCATAATTTAAGTGGTACCCTTCCTATTAGCTCTTCTAAAGCATAGCCTTATCGATCCTCTTTCAGAACCACACATCTCTAAACAAGGGATTTATGTGACTGCCAAACCACAGGGCACCAGCCACCACTTTTGTGCTCATGAAGCTTCAGCAAATTAAGTACACTCCATGAGTAAGCCCAAGAGAGGGTTTCCAACCGGTCTGTGTTCTTGAGAGCTTTAGCCTTCCACATCTTTCTTTATGCAGCTAAATGTTGCAACTGCATTTTAAGTCTATATAATTTGATGGTACCCCTTTAACTGGTTAGGGAACTTTAAATACCAGCTATACTTTTATCTAACACATTGATTATATTTTCAAGTGAGTAGTGATATTTGCTATCCCAATACAAAATATTTTTGCCTTTGACATTAGCTAGGATCACGCTTTTTATGGTTTTGCCTTTCTCTGAATATAATCTTTATATTAATTTTTTAACTCTGTGTTTATGTATTTTATTGAATTTTGAAGATTGAATTAGTTTTCAGCATCTGATTTGTTGCAGTGACTTTGGGCTGGCTGCCCAACTTAACCATGGCTGATACCCTTGGATGATGGCCTGATCGTTAATTATTTCCCTGCTGAAACTGCATTACAACAAAATAAATTTTGTTATAATGGCATTAAGTAAAGACCACAGAAACCTGCCCAGCATTATAAATTTCTTCTTGGCAGCTGTTTTATGCTTTTTCATCACGTCCCCTAAATCAAGAATGAGATATTATTTAATATTTTATCAGTTCATGAATAAACAGGCCTTCTATTTTCCTTGATGTAAATTTAACAACATCAGCATTGAAGTAATTATCAAATCACACTCATTATGCTGCAATCTTTATAAATTCAATCTCCCAAATAAGACAACATATTTAAGCACAAAAAGATTGAATCATACTGGGCTAAGTTAGTTACGAATCCTAGTTTACTGGGTATAACAGTTCTTACTTCATAAGACAATATGTAAAAAGGGTTTAATACAATACTCATTACTCATCCTTAGAAATGCAGCAATTTTTAGCCAAAACTGTTTGTAAACCAGTTATGACTGGAATGAAAGACCTTGAGGTGAAAGGGGGCAGCAAGAGGAAAATATGTCTAATTAAGAATGAACACTCCATAGGTTCACTGTTAGCACAACTGAAGTGCCAACAACATGTATTTCAGTTGCTTATATCACAACCATACAATTATGCTAATATATGATAATGTCACTGCCCTTGAAAATATTGCTTTCCTCTACTAATTTAGGAAGGAGATCAATTATGAAGTCATGTGGTTTGGTCTTCCTGTTGGTGATTTCACTTTGTTGTTAAGATATAGAAAAAGGATTAATTCCTTTCTACTTCCACCATTCCAGAAGTCTGCTCCCTCACAGCATCCCCTTTCCCTTGAAGCTATATTCATGTGGAAAATAAAACACAAATTTTTTCTAGCAGAATGTTTTTAAAGAAATAACTGCAGAGGTGATTTACCACTGAGAATGTAAACAGAGCTGGAGACAGTCAGCTATATCCTATCCTTTGCTACCTTAATCCAATTCCATTTTAGCTAAGGGTAGCCTGATGTTCATTATCCTTCAAAAAGGTAGCTCTTGCTTGCCAAATATATGCTTTTCCAGTAGTTATCATCCTTCTAAATAGTTCTTCATTGTTTTCTGCTGTAGAGTGTATTTTCATAAGAATAATTCTTTTATAACTTCATCACTGGTTTGAAACATCTCACTGCAATTTAATGATGAAGAATAAAAGGAGCAACAGGGTAATACAGTAATGGCACATGCCTTTGGCTATTTAAAATCAATTTTTTTTTCTCAATTACAGACCAGTCAAGTCAGTGGATTTTATAAATTAGAGCTCAAAAAGGCCATCAAGATAGGTAATGGAGTAAGTCTGACTTTTTGCATTCTTGTTTTAAGTAAGGATTTTATTACCCATCCCTGCACAACCTACAGCCTATCTTTTTCCTTTGCAATTACCCAAGCAGGCTTGACTGGCAGTCAAATTTTAATTCCATTCCAGAGCAGAAACACTGTTTTGCACATCGTTTTGTGCAGCACACACAACTGACTTGCCAGGTGTGAGACTTTCCAGCTACTTTGGAGTACAGCCTGGTATCAAACCTGCAGCCAAAGCTTCATTGTGCTTGATGCTGTACAGAGAGGGAAGATCATAAACTTACAACCAAAGCAAGTGCCAAAGGGACCCAAGTTCAAAGTGTGAAATAGGAAGAAGTGAGGGAGAAAGGAAGGTATTCAACAGTCACACCAGACAGACCAGTTCCCTTTCATCAGGTTGCCTTACCTAGCTAAAAATGTCATGGATGATTGTCACTAGTACATTTCTGATGTCAAAAGGAAAAATATTAACAATATTATACCACTTAAATCCCAATCCATCCCTCAAGGGGCTGTGCTTGTTACAAAATCACTTGTAAGAGCTAGAATTGCTTAGCTCCTTTATGTACATAGCCCTGGCAAAGAACATATACTACTGTTTGGCCTAATAATGACATTGAGATACTCTAAGTACCTGGAGTTATAAATGTTCCTATTTCATTCAGCAAATTCTATTTTCTTCTTTAATTTAACAGAGGTAAAAATATGGCTTAATGGAGGTAAAAACAGAGCAAATACTGATGCTCATAGCATCAGAGAACCATTTTCCCTGACTGATGCTCTTCAGTGAGCATATCAAAATATTTCTACCTGATTTCCATTATTGTTTGTGTGTTAGTTTGACTTTGTGGGCCCACTCCAAAATATCCATTCCTGTCTATCTGTTTCTAATTCTTTCTTTAGGAGCTGTTCTTTAAATTTTGTAGCACTTTATTACTAAAGTAGCAAGGAAATATACAAGTATATAAACAACAGCCTGTCTTCATCCTTTCATCCAAATTACATCAAGAGGCTAATCTGTGGAAAGAGCTAATGATCCAATCAGCATAAGAATATATCACAAATTGGAATTCTAATAGATAATCTCTAGAAGCAGATTTATTCTGTACTTACACATTTGGAGAAATTGGATATTTTTATATGATTGCTTTTGCTGTGCTTTAGTCTCTTGTAATGATTCCTTCAGCATTTAAGTTCCTAGTTGCATTCAACAGAAATGGGTTTGAATGAATGTTGCTTGACAGAGTAGCCTTCAATGAGGAAGGCAGGATGGTGGCAGTGAGGAAAAATAGGATGCTACAAATAGATACCAAGGGACTGCAAGCCCCTGAGGTCCCCCTGGGATCTTTTTGCATTCTTTGTTAATGTGATGCTATCAAGTTGCTTTTATGCAGTTCACCAGCCAATGTAATGTGTATATGATATGTGTTCCCAAGTAGTTCAGCATATAAGCAATGAATCAACAACCCTTTGCTGAAATGACAATAAACAATGAATTAGCAGCCCCTTGCTAGGGCTTCCTTGAATCTGTGACTCCTGTATCATTTGAATTCCTGCCCTACAAATGAAGCACCAGTCTGCTTCCATTGTCTATAAAATCAGAACTAGGAAACAGCCAACAGAGAGTGGCTGTACTTACCTAGTCATATACTTACTTGTTTGTGCCATGTTATGCACTGATCAGTCACAAGAGCCCTAAAAAGAAATATAATTAGCTGTGAAACAAGAACCAAATCCACAAGTACTTGTCCCAACATCTATTACAAGTTGCATCTGGTGGAAGAGTCTGTCTGTCAGGGATGCTCGGAAACACACTTGAAGATTGAGGTTTCAAACATATCTCAACAGAAATGTAAAACTTAAGCAAGTTGTACTCTCTGCTTATGCCATTCTCCTCCTCTCAGTGTTTGATTTTGAGAGGCACACAGTAGCAAAACCTCACCATTTTTGCTTTAAACTTAGTCCAAATGAGGTAGCTCCTGGGTAGGCAGCTGTAGCTCTGCTATTTGCACATGAGCCCAACAGCCAGACAGCATCACTAACACACTTGCTCTGCTCTCTGCATGGGGCTAGGAGAAGAAACACCTTTTTTTGTCTTTGGAGATACGAGAGGTGCCATATCATCCACACACCTTTGCTGTGTTGTCTGTTTGAGATTTCCCACCAAAACTGACACAACACAGCAGACAAGACATCACTGTGACCCTTAAAGAGGCTGGTTCCAGTTCTATACAGAAATATAAGTCATGACCCTTTTTGCTACTTGTGAAATTGGGAGACAAAGACATATGACAAAACGGGCTACTGGAATTGTCATCATGTCTTTATTTAATAGAGAACTTTCTCATCCATTTTCTAAACAGGCAGCATTATTTCAATAAACCAGAAACAAAGTCATGACCAAAACCAAACGTAGAATAACTTAAAGAAACATTTTTTTCCTTTGAAGATGATTGAAGTATAGGATAAATAAAATGTATTATATTATTTTGGAGTTTCTCCATAAGCAGTTCATATCTAATAGTTTCTCCATTAAGTATTCAGAAAATCAATATATATCAGCTAAACTACTCTGGCACTGACTGCATCTTTAGAGGAACAAGTTGGCTGGAAAAAAATGAGATTTCACTGAAGAATAAACCTATAGAAATTAGGTTTCTTAATGTTTTTGCATCCTTAATCCTCTCCTCCTTAGGAAATACATTCTCTCCCTTCTCTCTTGAACTCAAACTACAGCAAATTGGTTTTACCTGAGCAGGGCTGGAAGCTGTTGGTGCCACTGCTTAGTTTAGCTAAGTGACCAGACAGCACTGGAAAACATTAGGGATCATCCACAAAACAAACATTAGCCTACTGAGGCTAAGATCCTGAGCAACTCTTCGCAGAGTTGCTCTTTGCTCCTTTAGAGGAATGTATCCACTTTATTTACCCCAGAAGTAGCCCAGCATTAGCTTCAATCAGCTAAACCTAACATCCATGAAGATCCACACACTGCTTGCACAAGGAGAGGCTTTTGCTATAGTGAAGATTCAAATCCAGGTCAACAGTCCAGAGGCTGTGATGTCAGTCATGCACAGAAGCTTATCACACAATTCCAACAGGTCCTGTCTTACCCCAGTGCTTAGATTGACTTGGCACCTAGGGAGCCCATTGTACAGCACTGCACGGACCAGAAAAGCAAAATGTAGCTTCAACTCAGAGAACTCACAGCCTAGGATAATATAATAAATAGTGGTCCTTCCCCATAACAGAGCAAGACTGAAGCAGGTGGAGCTGTTTCCTCTCTTTGTGTCACATTCCAGCACAATCCCAACGTCATAAAAGCATAGCTGTAGCTTATAATATTTAATATTAACTAGAAAGACAAAGAGAGGAAATTTTAGTTCACTGCATTAGACATTAGCTTTTTGCTTAAGAAACTGAGTTGAAAAAACAATTTCCTTATGGTCTTTCTCATTAATACCACTTGTCTACAAAATTACTACAAAACACTGCAACAATCTACACTGCCTAAAATAGCTGAGCAGCTTTGATGATGATCTGCTCCACCCTAACCTGAAGATTAATTCAGTCAACCTTTATATTGGTTTTTTTTTGAGAATGCCTTTGCTTTCTTGTCACTGAAATATTGTCAACTCTATTTCACCTCACATCTTGTTTAGTGTCTACCCTAAAATCTCAGTTCCTATAGGCAAGAGGTTAGAAGAAAATCTTAGTTTTGTTTTGTAGAGTTTCTAGGTCTCATACTTGCACCAAAAGGCTTGAAAACATGCATTGTATCAGCTTAAAGAAAGTAAATAAAAAATACTGCAAGGCACTGTTTAAACAAAATTCTCATGACTTTTATGACAAGCTTATAATCTGAAGAGGTGAAGTTGTCGCCGGAGTCATGATTTCTAAGTCCTTGGGATTCAAACGTAAGGGTTCCTCTTCACCTTCCTTTTTCTCTTCTACTTTTCTACTCTTGTATTTGGTATGAGGAACGAAGATGCCCAAATTTCTGGTAGAAATCATCTTCAGCACGATTCAGAGCTTCCTCATCTATGTAGACAGCTGGTCTCCGGGAAGTCAAAAAGTACTGGACTTTCCGCAGGCTCCATCCCATCACGTACTTCAGCCAGCCACTGACAGCAGCTGTTGACCGGCCGACACCAGCATTGCAATGAACATAGACAGTGTGTCCATTCTTCAGTAGCCCGTGCAAGAGGCAGACAGCTTGTGGCAACATCTGTATTCTTCCTAAGTTTAAAAACAAGGCACATTCATTTGCACTGGAGAAAGCTAGGTTCATGGCTGAGATTTTGTCTGTAGAGCCCCCTGAACTGTGAATAATAATGGCAAACCTGATGTATTTGAGGTTTTTCCTTTCTTTTCTCAAATGACCTTCTACACTAACTTGTTTTTTTCTTGCAACATAGAATCAGATAACACAAAACTGTAAAATGCTCCAAGTCTTCTCTAAATATACATTCTGATTAACATTGGATGTGCATAGCATACTTGTTTTCACAGGAACTGAGGTAAGGCAGCAAATTACATAGACCAGGACATCTTACATAGCCTTAAAGTTAGCAAGCCAAAAATGAAATGTTTTTTAGTACCAGAGGTTTGTGAAGCTACCTACATACTGCTGCTTTCCAAAACATTGTAATGAAGGCCATCAAGTGAATAGTGAGGGAAGGAAAGCAGAGGATTTAATACTGTTATGATTTTTTGCTGTACAACTTAATACTGTTATGATTTAACTGTGCACTAAGCATACGGTTAAACAACACAGAACAGCCTTTCTCAGTCCCAAAGGGATGAATACACTATATTTCCAGACACCTTTCTCCCTGCTATCCCAGGAACTGAAGCCGCAAACAGCAGAGCCCAACTTTTCCTCATGGCACAGATGAGCAGTTTTAAGGTCCCCTGTCTTCCCTGATGTCCTATTACTGATATGACTGTTCTCTGTTTGAGGCAGCGGTATTTCACCGTGTTGAAAACAGTCTCTTCTGCTGGTAGGTTGCTCACTCGAAAACATGCTCACTTCCTAACCTATTGGCTGGAAATAAGATTTTGAACTGAGTATTCCAACCAAGGACTTAAAAATACTAGTAATTTATGTTACAGCTCAGGTGCTATGAACATTCTAATTTAATTAGAAATTATTATAAAATGTCTATGGAGATTATTGATTAGGCTGGGATACTAAAGTAAAAATATTTGCTGGGGAAGGGAACAGCAGAGCACAGCTGTCTGACAGACAGCACCGTCTCTCCATTTTTAATCTGAAAGGGTGGCAAGCCATCCTGCTGTGCAAGCTTGCGGTCTTCCACCTACACAGTGTATTTTCATTATATGGTCTGAATTCAAGCTGAAAGCAAAAACGGTCAAGCATTTTTTGATGTCGGATGGCTTTAAACTCAAATACATAATAATGCCAGACACAAAGTATTTTAGATGGCCTCTCTGCTTACAAGAAAATATGAATAATTTGTTAAAGACAGCACACAAAGAAATTATAACTTATGTGCTAAGTATATTTTTATGCAAAATTTACACAGAAGAAAAAAACAAACTGTCATGAAAATGGCAGATTAGTAACTCAAAGGGTTTGTTGCTACTAATTTACTGCAAGAGTGACCCAAACATTACCTTCAGTGCTCATGTCTGCAGTTGGCAGCCAGACATAGGCAAGACCTTCCTCTTTATACAGTTTCATGAGGATTTCAGGGCTCATGGGTTCTGGGTAGCGGTTGCAGCCCCAGGAATTCTGAACAATATCCCATTCAGTCTGGAAGTTCATCACAGCCGTAACACCCAGCTCGTGCTTCAGCTTGATGGTCACATGCTCCAGCTGCCGAGGGCAACTTCCCAGCCAGATGTTTGGCAGAATCCTAGCATTGAGAAAATACTGCAGTGAGATTGATCAAAATATCTTAAAATGGAAACTGCCAAGTTCAGTGGTGTTCCAGTTCCAAACCTGCTTAACGTCATCATACAAACACTGCTAAGCACAGCCTTTTCAGGTCATGCAACTTCTCATTTCATTACAACCTCTTATTTCATTGCTGTCGATTTGCTAATGTTTGAAGCTGGGGATCAAGTTCCTAACATACCACAAACGGCCAAATGATCTGAGAAAAGAATTCAGAGCATAGTTAGTAGCACAGGTCTCCAAGGCATCCATCATTAAGCTTGCAGTAGAAGCTTAGTAACACCACAGATTAGAATTAGGAAACTCTGAAGATTCGTGCAATTTGTACATACACACACACACAAAAAGAGACCTAAAGGAGTCACATGATCCAGATTTGAATTACTTTAGTAATAAGTCAAACACATAAAACTCTTCCAACTTTGTAGGTACCACTGTAATAAGGAAAGTAGAAAAATAAAATCAATTTGAACTATTCTTCTGTAATGAAACTCAAAAATTAATCAGTAATTTTCTTTTAATTTTTCTCTGATCTTGTGGAGTCTAGTGGGAATCAAATGCAGAATTACAACACATGTCTAGCTTCCCTCAAGGCCTGAAGAACCCCAAATTTTTCAAGAAAACTCAAGAGGTTTGTGTAGGATGGATAAACAACCATATTTCTGGTACTTGTCTAAAACAAGCTTCAAGACTTCTGTGGTTTTCCCATTGTTAATTATCATAAAACTATTGTATATCTCAACAGATTTTGACATTATAAACTGAATACTAAGAGGTTTTTAATCTCGTTAATAGAGTTTTAACTTGCACATGCAATTAAATTGATGGTGTCTACAAAGGATTATTTATATGCTCAAACTATTAGTGATCTCCTTTAATTTATTTTGCTTCCATAAACTTTGACTTTGAACACGCAACCCACAAACTAAACAAAATATCCCTGCACTTGAACATGCAACTTTGCAAACATTATTAACTGCAAACTGCAACAAAAGCAAGATCCTCAAACATAAAATGTCTTTCATCTATTTCTCATGGTCCTTTTAAATTTTAATCTCAGAAACAATAAGGAAAGTTTTATGTTTATTCAGGAACCTATAAACCACCCTTAAATCAACAGGTAGCTATTCCCATTTCACTATCAAAGCAATAAGTGCTTACTAGCATTTAATTAAGACTTGTAATTGACTGAAATGATTAAATACTGCTATATTAGTACTGAATATGGCCAAAAGAAAAAATTCAGATCCAGGAAGCACTAATTATTACTGTTTCCTGCACGTCAGCTGCATCCACAGTGAGTTGCATAATAGCCACACAAATGCAGTCTTTGGCTTTAGTCCCTGTTTCAGTGAGACAACACACTTATCTCAGCATATGGTAACTGAGACCAATTTAAACAAATATATTGCATAGCAAATAACCATTTCAACCCTGTTTCAACAGAGGCTGTTTGAAGAGATTTGACTTAGTTGTTTCACATACATGTTCTGGTCTAGATTGCTTTGAGGGTATTTCCCACTGCTAATAGAAAATGCATTTGTTCGTAAGAAAAAATAAATTCAATAAATCTGAAATTTCAAAAATTAAGATTTACATTCTTCATCACTTTTCTCACAGTCCTGAACACTACCTTTATAAAGGAGAGAAGACTTGGAAAGAAAGAAATCTTAATACACAGTCTTTCTTAAGATACAAATTAAATTCAGATAATCTAATAAGTACTCAGACAGCAGTGGACTCCACAGTCCTGAAAGAAAGGAAATAAATACACAAATTGTATAGTCCCATTATGTTCAAGGCACAATTCCACATACCAGTACAAGAAGGGAGCTTCTCAAAATTTCCCCAAATCCAGCACAAGCAGTTCAAGGATTCCCACTGATCAGAGGGCTGAGCAGAGGTCCAGTGCAACAACTGCTGCACTGACCCACTTTCCACATGCCAGCCCCACAGCAAATCTCATCCTAACCTGAATGAGTGACCACTGTCAGGATTCTGCCGCAGGAATTCACCACAATGATTAGAGCATTTCAAGGTGATGAATGTAAGTTAAAGTGCCCTAACAGATAGTGACAAATGGTTGGAGATGACCAATGCCCACAACACTCCATCACTGAGCAAGAAAAATGGCAGTATCACTAACATCTCATGACAATATGAGGATATCATTTCAAGAACAAGAACATTAGTATCCTTCCTTCAAAAGCTTTCCTGGAGGCTCATATATATGTAATTCAACTGACATTTTGGGAAATATCTAATATGCTAAATTACCTTGATAGGAGAGCAAAAGTGTGTTTTCTTGGATTTGATTGAATCAGGAGTGACTAAAGCATTTTTGAGATGAATAAAATTCTGGGTAGTACTCTTGCTTCCAGAAAAATCAATGCTTTATTTTTTTTTTCCCCAATGATTGTTTACTGGGTGAACATCACAGCTGTGCTATTTGCAAGACTCCTGGAATATACACTATTTGTTTATTTTGTTCTTGCAGCCTAACAGGTAAGACTTCTCTATTGCACAACAGTAATTGCATTTACTGAAAAATCTGATGAATTTACCAAGTTTTTATCCCTGTCTTCCCTGTAATTAACTAAACTAGCAGCAGCCTTCAGAGACTGACCAAAAAAAATATTTAGGAGAGCTAATTCTTGTGAATTATTTTTATGATCAGGTTCTAGAGTTTAGCCTTTGAGAGGACCAAGATGTAGCCTTGACCTTAGTCTTCAAGGTCCTTATTTACCCACTTACAAATAACTGTAAAGTGGGTCTTGCTGGAGAAGGCTTAGGCCTGACCATGCAGAAAACAGTAATGAAAAGCTGTCCTATGAGTTCATTTATGTAAAAGTTCTCAGATAATCCTACTGCATGGTACCTATATTTCTATTTGGCTTTATCTGGTTCATACCTTACCTTTGTCTGACATCAGAAGGAAGGAATAAAAGGGTCAGTGCACATGTGAGTACAGAGGTTGACGGAGAGTTTAGCAGCTGTATTTTATAAATATTTCCTAAAGGTGTAGCATGCAACTACAGCAACACATAACTTACAGTAAAACTTATTCTGCATTCCCGAAAGAGTAACATTTATAATTCAGTCAATTTACCCCCAGCATTTTGTGTTGCTTGTAGGCATACAGAGTGGGTTTTTTTGTACCAATGTAGTGTTATTACCCTGACACCACTACAAGCAAGCAGCCCAAAGGGAATGTAGGCCTGAAGTACAACTCAGTTAGAAATGGTTTTTTGCAGCACTTGAACTACTAGAGACTCTTTCCAATTACAGCACATTCTTATTTCCTCCCCTGATGGCACTGGAGTAGGAACTCGTTCAGAATGAAAAATTATGACCTGTTTGTACCAAAAGCTTCATAGAAACTTTCAACTTTTAACTGAATTTAAACTAGTTTTTAAGAGCAAATATCTGTTCTCTGTCTCATTTAACACAAGCACAAAAAGAGATTTCCAAAAGTATTGCTTTGAGCATATTCAAAATGAGAATACAGGAAATCCTATCAGCTGTAGCTGAGATGCTCTTTCATCTTTTCTCTGCTCTCTGCCTTGTGACAAGGCACGTCACTTTAAATGGGGATACCACTGGATTATGATGATCCAGAACTATCATCCTGCCTGTTCTCCTTCTTTTGCCAGTGGCAAACAACATAGAGCAGCTTATTCTTAGGTTTGTGTGTGCCTTCCCTGAAATACCAAAGTAGACATCTCTTTTCTAGGCCTTTCTTGTTCTTTTCTGCTGAACTTGTGACAGTGAAAACACTAAGAGCACTTGGTAGAAAACAGAGAGGTTCCTGTACTTTTGTCAGAGAAATCTAGAAACATCACTTAGATTGCTGTGTAATGCCCTGAAATTTATTCAGAGAGAAGGATTTTCAAATCACCAAATTCTACTCTCTAGTGGAAGATCTGAACACTTTCAAATATTGTTTGATATGTAGAAAGCACACTGATTATTATCCTTGCCTTCAGAAATACTTTTCTAATGTCCAATATGAATAGTGCAGGCACAAGTCATAGAGACACCTTCTTTTCTCCATAATGGACAAAAAGAATAGATTATTCCCTTCCACTCTGCAAAATCCTTTTACTTCTCTGCAAGTTACTAACACACACTGACACAGCTTTGTATTCTTCACACATACACATACACGCACACCCACTTGTCACATATTCAAAGCATCTGATCATTGTTGTTTCCCTTTGGCCTTTCTCTCTTTCTTAATATGTTATGCCCAGTACTGAAAAGAGTATATTTCTGAGAAGACCCAAAGATTACTTACTTCTTATGCTTCAAAGGCTTTATCCCTCTTTATACTTCCCTGGCTGTCTTTCTACAGTATGTCATTGCTGACCTATATTCAACATGGAATTCGCTTTTCAAGTTAAGATCTCTCAAAACATATGAACCTACTCAAGGAGAGACCAAAATTTGCCCCAAACAGAATTATTTAAGATTTTATCAGTTACAACTGCCAGTGGTGTCAAATAAAGCTAAATGAATATGCAGATGAGATTAACAGTTGATGAATGCATCTTAATAATATGTCTTGGAATAAATAATCTCACATACACATTGCTGTGTTTTGAGTTAATTATAATCATATAGAAAGGGAACTAGTATATGCTTGCAGTGGTGCTAGGTGAAAATGTTGATTTATAAAGATTTCAAAGTGGTAATGTAAGCCTATACAAAGTAGTGAACTGAAAGGAACAGAAAATTTATAGTAACCTAAAAATCAGTGATCCCATTCTATGCACTCAAACTTTGAACTTTCTACTATTTTACTGCATAAAGATACAGAAAAATGGAAGCATTCAAAATACAGTACATTACAGATATTTTTTGTGAAAATACTTTCATATGAGGGCAGACTAAGAATTTAGCGTTTTTAAGAGGGAATTAGACAACTGCTTAAAGATAAAACACATGGGAGAGGCAATC